TGTGGTTAATTTGAGATGAAAGTCTCATGGACTTTCCTGCCCCAGCTGGCTTTAAACCAAATTCCCCATATCTCAGCCTTCTGAGTAGCTAGGATTATAGGCATCAGCCACTGGTGCCAGGCTAAGAACTCAGAATTTAATGAAGGGGTCAGATGCGTGGTCACAGTATTTTAGGACAAGCTGAAGGAGAACAACTTCCCTTATAACCAAGTAGGTTATAACTCAACGTAGGAGATGAGCTACTATTTTCCAAAAGTGTAAGAATGAGAGACAAATAAAGGACACAAATCACCTGGAGGGTCTCTTAAAATATAAAGAACATAATTACAAGTTTATTTTGATCAATATGATTGAACATTAGCTATTACATGACAAATAGCAAGTATTTGATATTATTTATTATCAAAACATCTTGTTCATATCATGTAGTTCAGTGGTTTTTAGAGTATTAATTGTGTACTTATCTAGTTTTAAAACATTTTAACACCCCCTCATCACCCAAGTAAATTCCCAAACTCATATCTATCCTAAAACCCCCAGACCTAAGCAACTGTGCATTTCCTTTCTGTCTCTACAGACTTACCTGGTTTGAATAGGCCATGGTAAAGGAGCCATACAATATTTCTGCTGTCCCTGAGCATGTTGTTAAGATTTATCCATGTCCTAGCATGGGTAAATATTTCATTTATTTTCATGGTTGAGATTCCATGATGTGAACGTGTCACAGCTGGTTTATCCCTTGACCAGTGAGTGGATGCTTGTCTCTTACATATAATGCTACCACAAACATTCATTGCATGTTTCTATGTAGACATATGTTTTATGTGGACATATGTTTTCTGATCTCATCTGCATGTACCCTAGTGGCATTGTGGGTTCTGTGGTAACTCTGTCAAACTCTTTGCCAGTGTGGCTGTGCCACTCTAGCTCCTCACAAACAGGCCACAAGGGGTCTGGTTTTCTTCCTATTTTCGCTTGCCTTGCATGCCTGAGGCCCTGGGTTCGATTCCTCAGCACCACATAAGAAAAAAGCCGGAAGTGGCGCGTGGCTCAAGTGGTAGAGCGCTAGCCTTGAGCTGAAGAGCTGAGGGACAGCGCCCAGGCCCAGAGTTCAGGCCCCATGACCGGACCCCCCCCCAAAAAAAGAATTGCTTTATGAAAATAGAAAGTCACTAAAACAGAGAAGTTCCAGTTACATCCCCTTTTTCACACTTCCGAAGGCTCAAACATAAGTGACGTGCTATTAGAACTTAAAACAGAATGCCAGTTTGTAGCTTTGTGTATAATATAACTCATTGGCATCTAAGTACCTTGTCACTAATGATCACCAGGTGGTTGGAAATGCAGGTTTTCTTTCCTGACCAACTGAGAGGTAAAGAGTAGTGAAATGATTTTGTGTGTATTGCTTTTTAGAAGTTCAGTCCATTACTAATATGCAATTAAATATAATTGAAATAGGACAAATTGAATAACAAAATTAAATTTGCAAACTAGAGTAGGGAATGTGGGCTGTTCTTTAGTGAACGAGGTAGTGAGTTGGCAGTAGAGCCAGAGCCCCCGGCGTTTGTGTAACTCAAGGTGGTGGCCACCTGCTCATGCTTGCTCCATACATTGCGTGTGTTTGCCTTACTGGAAGGGCTCAGGAGACATTCCCCAGCAAGCATCCTGTGCAGAGGACTTTTTTTTTTTTTTTAATGAAGTGCTAGATTTGAATATGATCAGGAAGAAGTCCTATGGGGCTTCCTCAGATTTGCTTTTGTTTGTCTATTCATCTAGGACACCTGATGGTGATATTATTCATAGTATAAAAACAAAAATGTAAGTCTGGAGTAGTCACTCCCTGACCCAATTGTCCAGCTCTTCCCTGCTTCCGGTCACTCATTATTGGTGAAATGACAGGTGCACGAACCCATCCATCCCACAGTCCCATGGTTTTTCTGATCCAGCCTCTGCTTGTATCTTGAGCCTCAGAAGCTGCCACTTACAGGTGTCAAAATATGTATCCTGAGGCTGGGAACATGGCTTAGTGGTAGAGTGCTTGCCTAGCATGTCTGAGACCCTAGGTTTGATTCCTCAGTACCACATAAAAATAATCATAAAAATATATTAAAATTTTAAAAATATATGTATCCTAAGTTTTCACACAGTGGTATATCCCCTACTCTCCTTGCTACTTCTGTAATTGGCTAGTTGAAGAATTCTTTTCTCTGTTTGAGACTTAATGTAGGTACCATGTTCACAGGAAGTTCTTCAAGGTTGAACTGGGTTCTTTTTTTTTTTTTTTTTTACTGCAGAGAAAGTCCCTGGAGCTTTCATTATATCTGAGAAAAACAGAGATGAAACAACAGATATATTTGCATACTTACAGATATATTTGCATACTTACAGATATATTTGCATACTTACCTTGCCTAGTAGAGGGGGTAGGCCTAGGAAATACATAGTTATATAGTTAAGCACGTAGATAGGGAATGTAGGTGATAGAAAAGATGAAATGTTTCATTGAAGTGATCGAGTGGGTGAAGGCCTTACAGAGGAAGAGGGAATCTGTGCTGTGGACATCCTCAGCACACATCTAGGGAAAGAAATCCTTGTCCTGTGATAGAATTTGTGCTGTGCCATAAGCATTCCAATCACCGGAAAAGCTCAAATATCATCACTTAACAGTTCCACTTAGAGTTTTGAAATTCTAAAAATACTTCTAAGACATCTCTCCCCTCTGCCCTGCCACAGGCCTGGCCAGTGCACAGCTTGGGGGACTGTTAATGGCCCAGAACATCCCATCCGGGATATGATATGCTTAAGTTTCAGGGATTGCAGTCTCCATTCTCCCTCATTAGAGCTGAACTCATCTGTGAAATCCCTGCCCTGTAAGCATCTTTCATTTCCAGAAGACCGACCCTGTATGCTCTTCGTTCTCAAACTCCCAGCCTTTTTGTTTTGCATCTGTATCATTACCTGTGAATGTCCTCTGGCTCCTCTTTTAGGCTTAGCCCTTAAATGCTATGGGTGGATTTTTGGGCTTACTCCTTAAATGCTATGGGTAGGTTCTTCCGCAGTCAGATGATCCCCTTGAAGATGGAGTCTTCTGCTGTTTTCCCATTCTTATGGACAGCCTATTTTGAAATGGGTACTTCCTGCACAGCACAGCCCACTCATCAGTACAAGAGCCTTCAGTTCTCTCACATTGTTTCCTTAGAATCTAGTTTTGTTAAGTCAGATTATTTTTTGTTGTTGGTGGTGGTGGTCCTGGGGTTCAGACGCTGGGCTTGGGTGCTGCCCCAGCGCTCTTCAGCTCAAGGCAAGCACTCTACCACTTGAGCCACAGCACGACTTCTGGTTTTCTGGTGGTTAATTGGTGATAAGAGTCTCAGGGACGTTCCTGCCTGGGCTGGCTTTGAACTGAGATCCTCAGAGCTCAGCCTCTTAAGTAGCCAGGCTTGAGCCACCAGCACCCAGCTGAAGTCAGATTTTATCCATTATAAGTTAAAAATAATTTTGCAATAATACCAAACTGTTGTTTCTTGTTTCTGCTTTTTAAAAATTACTGATCATCCAGGCTAGGCATTTACTCTGCCACGTACACCAGGCCTCCATATTGCTTTGCTCTGGTTATTGTGTTTGTTCAGGACACCTTGGACTCTTCACAGTGCTTCCCATTCCCGGCCATCTCTTCTTATTCTCTTGTACCCGTGGCCATCTTGTTTAGCTTCATTAATATTTTTGTTTTTGTTTTTTGTGTTTAGTTTCACGTCCTTACATAAGTGAGCCTTATGGTGATCTAGATTCTTTTGTTTTTTATTTTACTTTTTATTGACTGTGGAAGATGAGGATTTAACCTGAAGTAACCTGCCATCGTAACACAGTTGTATCAAGCACTGTTGGAAAAAAAAATGAGTTAGATTCAGAAGGCAAGATTTTCTTGATCCTAAAATGCTGTAAAGCAGTATTTTCCGGGGGTTAAAACTCGAGTTTGCATAGTACATTGCTAGGGACTTGGGGTAAAAGCAAAATACTAGAATCAAAAGGCATGGGTATGAATAATTACAAAAGATAACAATATCAACACTCTATTGTTAGCTATACCATTTAAAACATGAGAAATCCTCATTTATTCCCATCTTGTGGTTAGTCTCTGATCAAGTCTTGTTGTTTTGAAACCCCAGGCAGTTAGTCTTAATCACCAAACCTTTTATAGGTGCTAGGGTGAAAGTTTAGTCCTATTTAAAAGAACAAATGTGCTAAAGATAAGCTGTTCTAAGGATCATAGATTTGCATGAAAAACTGCACCAGAGAAAAACAGTAATTGCCTCAGCATGAGAGATGGAACGTATGTCAAGATAATTGGAGACTTTGTTTTATGTGTTCACTTTGGTCTAGTTTTGATTTCATGGACTTTAATTTGTTTCTGTGTCTTAATTTTTTTCTTAATCTATTCTGAAGAATGTAAAACACTCCTGAGGATCTTATTACTGTTTGGGAAATTATCTTCTTTGGTGCCATTGGATACAATTTTTTTTTGTCAGTCTTACAAGAAAAAAAATATAGTATGATGAAACAGGCTATTGTATTTTAGCAATCTGACAGTGGAATCTGAAAATTTTTGTATAAGATCATATACACTGGGACAATTTCCATTAGGGTATTCCCTATCCTGAACCAGTCTTCCCTTCCCTTCCCTTCCCTTCCCTTCCCCTTCTCCTTCCCCTTCCCCTTCCCCTTCCCCTTCCCCTTCCTTCCCCTTCCCCTTCCCTTCCCTTCCCTTCCCTTCCCTTCCCTTCCTTTTTCCTTTGCATATTTAAGTTTTGGAGGAATTATCTTTTTGCATTTATTCACATTTCTTATCATTCATATCTGTAAAAGCTGGCATTTTCCTAACTTAAATATTGGTGCTTAGTCATTCCTTGGACAGGTATGATCACATCTAGTCTAATCGGAGATGTTCCATTATTTGCTGAACACTTGAGCTTAAAATATACCTGTGGCTTCTTTTTGAAAAGGCACTGCGACGAGAGTTAAAGGAAAAAGAATATTCCATCCTGAATGCTGTTGACCAAGCTCGAGTTTTCCTGGCTGATCAGCCAATTGAGGCCCCTGAAGAACCGAGAAGGAACATCCAAGCAAAAGCAGGTGAGACTGGATTCTTTCAGACATCATATTAGAAAAAAGAAAAAATAGTACATATTTAGAGAACAACAAAAAATCAAATAGGAAATGGCCTATTGTTCAACATCTAGTATTTAAATCTTTTTTTTTAGTATTTAAATCTTTTAAGAAAGAAAATTGTCATAAATTTAACAAATGTATAAATTCTTTTTTTTTTTTTTTTGGTCGGTCATGGGGCTTGAACTCTGGGCTTGGGCGCTGTTCCTGTGCTCTTCAGCTCAAGGCGAGCGCTCTACTGCTTGAGGCACAGCGCCACTGCCTGTTTTCTAGTGTTTTATTAGAGATAAGAATCTCATGTACTTTCCTGCCCTGGCTGGCTTTGAACCGTGATCCTCAGATCTTAGCCTCCTTAGTAGCTAGGATTACAGGCCTGAAACACCAGCGCCCGGCGTGTATAAATTCTTAAGTGAAAAGAATATTATGTTATACTTCAGAATCTCTATTTTAAAAGAAAAATTTAGGTTCAGAAAAAAGCTTATATTTACATTTCATGACTTTAATGAATGAATTCATTGTGGCTGAATATCGGAGTGAACCCTTTTGGTACAACTATTATATACTAATAAAATAACTACAAACATGATTTGTCTATGAAATAAAAATATATATTTCTTGTATTAAAACAACTTGCTCAGTTAATTGCAAGAGAAGAAAGTTATTGAAAATGTAATAGCAAATACGTAAAATATTTGTATCTATAAAATGAAGTTTTTTCAGACATGTGTCAGCATGTGATGGTAAACTGCCTTTCTTTTATCAGCAGGCAACAGCATTTAATTAAAAAAAAAAAAACCCTAAAACATCAATATGTTTTGGCTTAAAATTGCAACAGGAACTACCTTACTAACAAAGAGCAAGTCACATAGTAAATTTAAGAGAAAATTTGCAATGCATTTTGGAGCCCATATATAGCTCTCTAATGGTTTTACACCATTGGTCATTAAAAACATCCCGATGCATTTTTAAAAATTAGCAGCATGCCATTCCGGGTATTTTTCCATCATTCACTTCTCTGGGCAAAAGAGGACCTGAAAGAGCACCTGCAGTTCCCAGCAGTCATCGAGCGGGGAGCTGGCAAGGCAGGTGGTCATTGTGCTGAGTCTCCTTAATGGAAGCTCTCCTTCGGCTGAGGGCATCTCCCAAGGCCGTGGTTTTCTTGACTTTTCCATCAAGTCGTTGTGCATGTGTGTGCACACAACACATATATATGTGCAGAGCTACTTCGTGTCTTTTCTGACATCACTTTCTGTTTTCTCCTCGGGTTCCATAGCAGTCTGCCTACTGGGAACCTCAGTCATCGTGGAATCTTCGATTTCTCATCAAACCCTCATTTGCAAATCACTCTTAATTGCTTTTTTTTGGGGGGGGGTTGTCTCTGAAGATTGATTCCTCCTGCATATTTTACCTGCTGCCTTCTGGGCTCCCCATCTATGCCTTCAGTTAACTAGGGATTGAAGTGATTTGGGGAAAAAATGTATCTGTATTGAACATGCACTCTTTTCTTGTCATTATTCCCCAAATAATGTAATAGAATAACTATTTCATAGCATTTACATTTGTGTGTGTGTGTGTGTGTGTGTGCTGTGTTCCTTGGATTGAGAAGACCTGGAAAAACCGACAGAACATTCCAACTTCAGACAGCAGAAAGAAGGTGCTATTCCAGTTTCATGGCATCTCCCTTTGTGTTGTTCATTTGGAGGAAGGAGACATTCACTCATCTTTTCTTAGTATTTATTAGTCTTCCTTGAAACCATTTTTCTTGTGTCCCTAGGACTTGAGTGAGAAGAGAGGAAACATTTTAATCATGAGCTGCTTTGTAGCAGGAGGGTGTCTTGTGAAGTCATGGAAGTTTCCCTTTTACCATAGCTTCTCCTTGGTGTGGTCAGATATTTCAGAGTGTAAAGGATACTGCTTTTTGATGTCTCCGTTTGCTGTTACTTTCAGGAGTCCCATTTTCAAGTACCACAAGTTATATCAATTGAGCTATATGAATTTTTTTTTTTAGTTTGCTTTGTTTTCTGATTGGTAATTTCCCTACCCTTTCCTTTCTTGATGCTATTTTCTGTAATAGTGGTTGATTTTTACCTGCTGTTCAAAGTAAATGGAAGAAAATTATCCATAATAGCTTTTATCCTTTCCTTGTTTACCATGACTTATGTGGAGCTGCTATCTGAAATAGAGAGCATTTGAACATTAGTTATCCCATGTGACGGTGAAGTATTCAGTGTTGGACGCAGGAGGAGCTGGCAGAAATGGTGTTATAGTTGTTCAGTTCTAGTTATTAAACATTTTTAATATGTTCTATAGACTGTGCCCTAGAGCACTAAGATGTTCCAACTTCATCGTTTTTCTCCCTGATGCACTTTTCTGTTCCTTTTATGTCTTCTCATTTTCCTATTATTGATTATCTTATAATGTGGTTTGCAGTTTGTAAATATTTGCAAATTAATACAACCCGCATCAACTCCTTACCCTCTTTTGATAGGCCTCCTTCAATACTCTATTAATTAGTATCCCTCCCTTAATAGAAACCCTCGAATCATACATACAAAGCACAGAATTGCTACTTGTTCCAGTGGCTTCTGGAGTGGGAGGGATCCTGACTCTTTCTGCAGGCACAGAAGCTGCACAGAGAGTGGGCCTCAGCATTTCTGTATGTGTCCCATCTCTGTGCCCCTCCCCTACTTGTACTTGATGACTGTTGAGCACCAAGCTCCTTTTCATGTCCCACAGTAATGTCTACTGTGCCTTTGTTCTGTTACTTATCCTGGGTTTTTTTTTCTGCCTGTAGACTCCTCTTTCCTGATTTCCATTTATAACATTGCCAACTCTCATGACCTACCTGCCCAGCTCCACCCAAGACCTTTGTCATCTGGGACATTTTGCCTTTCTGAGCTGTCTCTGGACTCCCTGCCACTCTGTCCCATCCCTCGCTGGATGGTGAGAATCTGCATCAGAAGCTTTCCCCTTGCTGGCTTTTTAAGAAGTGACTCCTTTTTATTGAGAAGCTGAATATGAAAAATGATCTGAGGGTCCAATTCAGTTGTAATAAGGAAAACATAGTGCAGATACTACTTGAGTCATAGGCAAGACATTCAGTACTCTCTCCAATAGGAAATTGAGCTTTAGATAGTGTTGTAGTTATTTGAACTCGATGCCCAGTGAATTATGAGGAATGAGCCAAGTAGAAGTGAGAAGAGAGAGCAAAAGCTGACACTGAGAAGTGACTGTACAGTCTGATAGCAAGGAGGAGAAAGCAAACTGTGGAGAATGGATGAACATTCTAAAATAGTAGTCCTTGAGGCTTTTTACAGTGAAAAGCTGCAGCTTTGGATGATGGTCTATATTTGAAGGTGGAATCTACATGTTTTAAAATAGACATAAGAATTTATACCATATTTTACAATAAGTTACCTTCTAAAATGACAACCATAATAGCAGGGCTAAGTGGGGTGACATGTCTGGAGAAAGCTACCAGAATAAATTGTTCTACCATGGCAATTAGGTAAATATGAGTTTTAACTGAACTGAAATTTACCTGAATATAGAAAATTTTAAAGCATACAACTTGGTCAATAGACTCTGTCTTGTTCCAGCAGTATGGGAACACTTAAGATCATATAATTGGTATTATCATATCTATTTATATCTGTATCAATTTCCTGTTAATAAAGTCTGATTGTTTTTATTTGATTATAATAACCCAGTTTGTATTAAAGAACTAGAACAATGGAATAAGAACTTGTATTATATTATTTGTGATAGGGTATTTTACCTCTAAAAGCATTTAAAGAATTATGCAATTTATGTTCAATACATGCTTTTCTTTTTTTAATTATATTTAAGATTCAATGAAAAGTTTGGGATTGAGGTAGAGCTCAGTGGTCGAGTGCGGGTCTGGTATGTACAAGGTTCTGGGTTCAGTTCCAAGCACTGTAAAAAAGAAAGAAAGAAAAAGGTGTGAAGGGAGAAAGAAGACAAAGATGAAATAGAAAAGATTACATTACGTTGTTTATATATTTTACCATGAGTTTACTTTATAAAAATTATTCCTGTTAAAGTATTGCTGTTAGTAAAATCATTTCATTCATGTCTAAACATCATTTCTGTTTCCGTATAGACAATTTGGTTTCATTTAAATGATATTCCCGGAACAGTCATAGAAGAAGAAAAATAGATAGGTACCAGGGACTCACACCTGAAATCCTAGCTACTCAGGTGGCTTAGACCTAGAGAACTGAGGTTTGCTTGAAGGTAGCCTGGGCAGAAAAATCCAGAAGACTTCATCTAAAAAAATAACTTGCACAAAGCTGGAGTAGAGGTTTGGCTCAAGTGAAAAGAATGCCAGCCTAGCAAGCAAGCCAAGAGAGCATGAAGCCATGTGAATATATCTGTGATTAATGATTGACAATGATCTTTTTCAGATAAAAATGCATGTAGAGATTAGTATTTTCCTTGGAAGCTCTTTAATGTCTAACTATGTGTTTTAGTGTTGTTTGGAATTTTAATTCATGGCATATTGTATATTTTAATTCAGGGTATAGTTCTTTTAATTCTTAAATGTTTTATGGTATTTTGGAAAGCCAGGTACTCCAAGTATTCCCATATCCTCAACCTGTATTATATGTATTATATATTATATACATATTATATATATGTATATTATATATACATATATTATATGTGTTATATTATATGTATTATATATGCTATAAATGGCATTTTAGTGTACTATGTCAATTTATTTTATGCTCCTATTAGCAAACTTGTGTCAGTCAGATTTTGTAATCATTGAGTAAAGATGTATGACTTCAAGTTACATTGTTATCTTATGTCTAATAAAATGAGGCCAATTGGACACAATACCTAACAGAAATTATTAGGCTGGTAATAAGGTCTCCTTAAGACCTTTTTGTCTGTTTTCCTAATAACAGCTTTATTAATCAGAGCCCATTAGTCCTGAG